GTGGCTTTCGGGAGGATTCCCCAGGAGCGTGTGTGAGGTTTTTTCTTGCAGTAAAAAAAATAAAGTTTGTTCCTGCTTCAGTGGCTTCTGATTTGTGCCCAGCCAGACTGTGGCACGTGCCCTGAGCCCCGCATGCAGCGGACCCAGCCTTGACCACCAGAGCCCCCGACCGCGAGTCTCTTGTTTCTTAACCTCCCCGGGACCCCTATCCAGTGACCCCCAGGCCCAGCACCAACCCAGACTCCCCTGATGCGCCCTTGCCGCCAAGTCCACGGCCCTCCGCTCCCAAGCCACGTCCAGGCCCATTGAACCCCCGTCCCTGTCTCTTCAGCTGCCGCGCCGGTGTGCACAGGTCCCCACAGGGCTGCCTGCGCCCAGACRCTATGGGCAGGTGTCACTGAGAAGTGTCAGGACCTGAGGCCACACGCCCGACGCACACTTGGCGGATAGGAGCGGGGGTTGTGCTCGGAGTCATCCGAGGACGTGAAGGTTCTCCACTCAGCAAATAGAGTCTTCTGGGAGAGATTCCCAGCCTTTAGGGGGAGACTCAAGGGTACTCAGGAGGGCCTCCAGCTTGGAAGTGCCGCTGGAGGACCAGCAAGGTTTGCACAAGGCTAAATGGCTGACAGGAGGCAGCGGTCAGAGTGGACCAAAGCTGCTGGCGTTTTGTGTGTCCGTCAGGGAATGGAGAGAATCATAGGTCAAATCTAGGGCACTCCAGTGCCAGTGAAGACCAGTGCTCAAGCACAACCGAAGAGAGGGATGAGGTTTCAGATGTAATTGGATTATTTCCTTAAAAAACACAAAAATTTTAAATGGAGCACACGAAAGTATTAAACAGCTAATGCAGTTTTCCTTTGGGAAACAGCATGCTTAATATCAGCTATGGCCGGGGTGAAGCTGTAAAGGATTTAAGTTGGCATTGCCTTCTAAAGACACAATCTGAAATTGTCTCATTAATTTCTATTTACCTGGGATGCCAGCCTCTGAAGTGAATTCACCGTCTGGTTCTCAAGGAGGCCTGGGCAGCCCATTTGGGGACTCTGGCTGTCAGTGCAGGCAGTAACGCGCTGGACAGGCAGATTCACAGCGGTGAGCAGAGCCGCTCAAGTGTGGGCAGAGCATCTGTTTCTTACTCTTTACTGTTGAGCCCCTGTCCTGAATGCAGTGAATGTGCTGTGCACATTTTGCTCACCAGCTTAACTAGCGTCTACAGTAGTGCCTGATGTGTGTGCCTCCCAAACTATTTGTAAAGGATGGACCCAAGAATGCAGTGAGGGATTCCACTGTGAGGCAACTTTATACCAAAAAGGACTCACTGTCTCTAACCTGGATATTGTCTTTATTGGATCAAAACTGAACTGAGCATGGGAGAGATGTCAAGGGCCCCCATTCCCCAGAGACTGGCAAGGAACAAAAATAAAYCACCTCTCATTTAGCATGTCAAAGGAGCCAGCATCTCTGAAATCACGGCAACTCTGGGGCCTGTGGACCAATGAAAGGGTGCTTCTTCAAGATATCAAAGGGATCTCTCTCCTTGACTGTGGGGAGCCACTCTCACACGTGATCGGGTGCCTCCCGTTGAGGGTCTGAGGCACTTTGGCACAAGTCGAAGTTTTTCCCGGCCCTCTCCTGATGAGAGAGCCCATCCGTGTGGGGGTGTGCCTGACCACTGACCCCGGGGACCCAATCGCTGAYCCTGACCTTGGAGTGCAGCCCCCCCTCAACCTTCATTGGATGGAATTCTCCCCTGAATCTCTGGTTCCCTAATAAAAGGCTACTCCCCGGCATGCTCACTCTCTCTCTCCTGCTAGCCCTGAGTAATCCTTGCTGCCCTGCTGGGCGGCTAGAGGAGCGAACCAGAGAGGGGAGCCGTCTCGGACCTAGCAATAGAATTAAGGTAATTGAGTCTTGTGTTTTTATTTCGATCTCGTCTAACTAACTTTATGCCTAGAACCTCATTAATGAAACCACTGCGCAGGCCGCGTGGTAGACTTGACCCCTCTCACACACCGCTGTCCTGTGTTTTGTGACTTTGTTCCTCTAATCCTTTAACTGGGTGCATTCTGTGACTTGAGTAAAGGTGGTGCTAGGATTGAACTCGGGGCCTTGTGCATGCAAAACGTGCTCTAACACTGAGCTACACTCCCAGCCCCATTGTGGATTCTATGGTCTGCTCCTTTTACGTTATGCCAGATGCAAGTCACTATTAAGATTTTTATTTTTTAAGTTTGTGGGGAAAATGATGATCCTTAGAATTTCTCCATTAGGCCCTTTCCTTCCACAACATTTTGATTAATCCATGAAGTCATTCATGCACCCTCATCCATCTCTCAAGTCTACAATTCATTTCTATTTTGTTAAGTACTGGGGAACTTACAATTATCTCCAAAGTATAAAGGAATCTATGTAGACGTAAAAATATGAACATTTTAAAAAAGCGTTCATACCTTGCTTCATGTGAGTACAACTAAATCATCTGTCCTCCACAACTCCGCCCCTTTTCAACCAGTGTTTACAACCGCTGACCACACATGCTGGAGGGTAAAACTGCTATGTGCACAGGACCCACCTTAAAAGAAATGCTCATTTAAAACCAGCAAGCGCTGACAGACATGGTGGCACTCGGCTGTAATCCCAATGACCCAAGGCTGAGGCAGGAGGATTACAGATTCAAGGCCAGCTTTGTGAATTTAGCAAGAGCCCCTCTCAAAACAAAAAGGGATAGGGATGTGGCTCAGTAATAGAGCACCCTGGAGTTTGATTCCCAGTACAAACAAAAAATAGACAGGGGTTTTGTTTCCTTCATCACCTACTTTCTGCAACAGCACCAACAAAAGCAAATAGTTAGCATTTTTCTGTGTGTTGTGTTTATCAAAAATAACACAAACCACAGGGTTAGGATAATAACTGCATCCTGGGTTCAGAGTGAGGCTGGTTAGTCATGTGGTTTGAACTTCATTCCCCCTAGTGGTATTTAAATACATTGTTTCTTTTATAACCAAAAAAGTGTAAAGGTAATCATAATGATCCTGGGTAGAAAAAGAAGACTTGCGCCAGTAAAAAGGGAGATAAGTTGCATTATAACTTTAACACAAATCACCTCCTTTTAATGAAGGAGCCACTGACAGTTTGACTAAGGTACACTGTCCTAAAATGCACTGTTATCTCTTGTAAAATATTAGACTTCTGATGCAAATCTCTATTCTTCATCTTCCCAGGTTTATTTGTTTCAAGTATTCTCTGATATTTTACTGAAGATGTTTCAAGTGTTCACTTTTACTTCTATGTTTTCCTCTGATAACATGATACAGAATGTACCATGAGCAACCCTGCCACCTTCACTGCCTTCAAAGGTCTTCCAACCATTTTTCTTTGCATGACACCTACAGAGATCTTTCTTTTGGGCAAGGACTTCTCCATGGTCATTATATTTCTACCACCTTTGAGCTCACTAATCTGTGACCATTGATAATAAGGTTTATCTTCCCATAAATGATTTATTCAGCAAGCATTCATACTATTTTTTCCCCATCATACTGACAGCTATATAATGAGCTATATTTCTCAAGGGTTTTCTATCTTCAATGCATCATGATTTACTCCTGTGTGATTTTTGTGACATAAAACGTGATGTAATTGATCACTGAAAGCACTATCACATTCATTGCATTCATACGATTTCTTTTCTATGCAAGGTCTAGTCTCTGCTGAGGGTGAATGTCTGACATCTGGCTGTCCCACAATAGCTATGCTCCTATCTGCTTGGAGCTCACTGTTGCCCAATGAAGTCTGAGTTGCCACAGAAGGAATCTGCATAGTCTCCATGCTAACAAGACTCTCCTCCTGCATGGGATCATTTGTATGCGATGAGCTGCAACTCTTTGAGAAATTATTTTCTAGCTTGACTGAATCAACCTGTTTCTCTCTTGCATGCAGAATTCCCTTATGATAAACAAGGCATGACAGGTGGGAGAACGCCTTCCCACAGTCAGAGCACCCATAGGGTCTCTCTCCCGTATGAGTCCTCCGGTGTCTATTGAGGCATGACTTATTTCTGAAAGCTTTCCCACAGTCACCACACCTGTAAGGCTTCTCTCCTGTGTGGATTCTCTGATGATTAATGAGACCAGACTTGTGTGAGCAGGATTTCCCACACTCGGTACATACAAAGGGAGCCTTTCCTGTGTGGAATCTCTGATGTGAGATCAAGCATGTTTTCTGGCTGAAGCCTTTCCCACAGTCATTGCAGACATAGGGTTTCTCTYCAGTGTGAATACGCTGATGTATAAGGAGATTGCCCTTCTGGATGAAGCCTCTTCCACATTCGTTGCAAGTGTAAGGCTTCTCTCCAGTATGAGTTCGCTGGTGGACAGTGAGATTGCCTTTCTGAATGAAGCCTTTTCCACATTCACTGCATATATAGGATTTCTCTCCTGTATGGGTTTTCAGATGTGCATTGAGTTGTGATTTCCAGCGGAAAGCCTTGTCACACTCAGTACATTCGTAGGGCTTCTCTCCTGTGTGAGTTCTCTGATGTTCAATGAGTCTGAACTTTCTGGAGAACGCCTTCTCACACAGGCTACATGCATGAGGTTTTTCTCCTGTATGAACTCGCTGATGATTAATGAGACGAGACTTCTTGACGAATCCTTTTCCACAGTCACTACATACATAGGGTTTCTCTCCTGTGTGAATTTTGTGATGTGCAATAAACTGTAATTTCCAGCGGAATGCTTTGTCACACTCGGTGCATTCATACCGCCTCTCTCCTCTGTGAGTTTTCTGATGTTCAGTGAGCCGGGACTTTCTGGAGAAGGCTTTCCCACACACACTGCACCCATGAGGTTTCTCTCCTGTATGCACTCTCTGGTGATCTATGAGGCGAGACTTCTTGAGGAAGGCCTTCCCACATTCGATGCATACATGGGGCTTCTCTGCCTTTTGGGATCTCTGATGTGAATTTGTATTCACAGAATTTCCATATTCAGGAAATTTAATTTCAGTAGGAAATTGTTCATGCCTGGCATGGGGGAATGATTTTCCAACTCCATTAGCCTTGACAGGATTCTCTACTTCACAGCTTCTGTTATGGTTGACTAAACTTAAATTTGATTTTAATCTTTTCCTGTGAAAGTCAAATATATCATGATTTTGCCTTAAAGGAAAGTTATTTGTTCTATGATGAATGATGTTTCTGGATGCACTGTATTTATGGCACTGTTCCAATTTCTTCTGACATCTTTGATTTCGTAACTGTATCTGTAGATGATCATCAGCTTTCTTAATTTCTAGGGAAGAGGAGAACATGTTTTCATGAAAAGGGGAATAACACTGAGTTTTGAATATGGGGGAAATCAAATGTGCACTTTAGAGAACACATCATCCTTGAGAGGGTTTTRGATAGTCAAATACAGAAAAAAAATCTGATTGCATACATAAATCAAGAAAGGTCATGGTTGGAAATTATGTGGGAATTATCAGTATGTAAATATTAAGGAAAGAGGATTGGGCGAGATCAGGTTTGGAAAAAACAGGTGGATGAAAACAAGATGAAGGCACAGGGCCACGTTTACAATTGCTGTGATATTTAGAGTTTGGGTTTTGGAAAGCTCACTGAGAGGTTCCAAACACTGACTCTTCTGGAAAATAAGTAGAGGTATACTGGAACTGTTAGACCTAAGTGAGAATGTCATAAACTCAACACTTCTAGAAAACTGGGAAGACTCTTGGGTAGTCATTTTATTTTTCTAATACTTCATTCATAGACTATCATCAAACCAAATTTCCCAAAGCATCAATTTTACATTTAAAAGCAAACTTCTGCAGTAAACATGTCAGCTTTTTAGATGGCTTTGACACAATCTCTTGTATCAACTGAAAAAGAGAAAAAACAGTGATGCCCATGGGACTCGGATTACATGGTCAAGTGACATGCTGCTGAACTAGGCAGGGAATGGTCACCTTTTCTGATCACACTCTGCTTGTACTGATGGAATCAAACTGTTCTTACTTCATGTCTCTGATGTAATGGTCCCCAAACTCATATTTCTTTTTTGGGGGGTGGGGGGGAGTAGTTACTGGGGATTGAATCCAAGGTTCTCTAAATCCCCAGTCTTTTTAATTTTTGATTTAAAGACAGGGTTTTGCTAAGTCGCTGAGACTCCCTTCAACTTGCAGTCCCCTGCCTCAGCCTCTTGAGCTGCCGCCATGGCCAGCCCAAACCCCTTCCTGGCACTCTCAGCACTGCCTTTCAAACTCCTATGTAAATGGCTTAGTGGCCATAATTGAAGGGGTCCTAAAGGATCACAGCTGGGACCCCAGACCAAGGCTTCTGTCAGTTTTGCCTTCTATTTTTTCTAGGAAATACTGGATGTACTTTATTGTTACACTCCTGCCACCCAGTTTAAAAGTAAGACTCCAGGACTAGGGGTGTAGCTCAGTGGTAGAGCACATGCTTAGCATGCATGAGGCCCTAAGTTCAATCCTCAGCACCAAAAAAAGGAAGGCTATAAATCTGAAACTAACTTATACCCAGGTTCACACTCCCTTAACTCCCCTACAAACACCTTCTGACCTTCATGGGGCCGGTTCAGGCCAATCTTTTAACAGTTCCTCACAAGGCCTTGTACATTTCCAATTTCACACCTTCATTCTTTTAAATTTTAATAGTGTCAGTAAAATACCAATGACATAGAAAAATTGTATATATACAAGGCACACAACCTGATGTTTGGATGCACGTACATGGTGTAAAATGATCGCCAGGATCCACCTAATTGACATATCTACTGACCTTCACTCCTTGCCCTTCATCATATCCTTTATTCAAACCCTAGATACATCTCCTACATATTATGCTCTCATTCCCAATTCTAGGTGAACACAAGATATCTTCCATAAATTTCTAAAGCATTCCCTATCTTTTTTTAAAAATGATAAATTTTATTTTATTCTTTACACAAACAGATCACAACTTTTCATTTCTCTGGTTGTACATGGCATTCCCTATCTTTATTGCTTATTTTAAGAGTTAATTTCACACAGCCCTGTACTGCAGAAGAAGATTTCTCCAGTTCAAAAGCTGAACTTCTATGTATTTATTACAACTAGGTCTGTCCTCTATTAAAATCTGATTCCTGGAATGCACTGTTATTTCTCAATAATTTCCATCTCTTCTAGCACACAGTAGGGCTTTGATTTAACAACTGGCTCAAGAGAGCCAACKTACAGCACCATACATAGATAAGCCAAGACTATCACCCCAAATCTACCAAATAGACTCAGAATGGGAAGATAAGGCAAGAGCATCACAAGTTTAAGACCAGCCTGGGAAACTTGGCAAGACCCCATCCCAAAATAAAATTAAAAGGGCTGTAGATGCAGCTCAGGGAGTTCAATCTCCAGCACTATGAAAAACAGACAGAAAGAATGAAGATACACACCATAGGAAACCGTTCAGTTAATAAAAACTCATCTTTTTGATTGTGAGTTGTCCAAGTTCTTCATCCGTACTCCCTTTACAGAAGACATTACTCACGCCATTTTTCTCTCACCTAATCTCTCGTGACTTGGGACATCCAATCAGAGAGTATTTCATGAATATGAGCAAGCACATCTAATTATAAAGTCCAAAGCAGAACTAATTTCTCAAAAATACACCTACCCTGGGCCCCTGAACTTGTGACCATGTCTATGTGAAAGGTAATTCACCTAAATGATCCACTCAAGGGCCCTTCCCATCCGAAAGAGCAGCTCTAGTCCCCCTCACACACTATTCTATTATGGTATTTTATTATTCTTCCCAGCAATTTTCATAACTAGGTATTTTTTTTTATTTACTATTTTTTAGTTGTAGATGAAAACAATACCTATCTTTTATATATGCTGAGGATAGAACCCAGGGCCTTGCACATGCTGGGCAAGCGCTCTGCCACTGAGCCAGAATCCCAGCCCACAAGGTATTTTTTATTAACTTTGCCTCCTTTCAGAATCTAATCCCAAGAAAAATTCTTGTTATTGTTGTTTACAGCTATCAAGATCAATATGTAATAAACTATCAAAACTATTAATGTGAAGGCTGGGGTTGTGGCTCAGTGGTAGAGTGCTTGCCTAGCATGTGTGAGGCACTGAGTTAGATCCTCAGCACCATATAAAAATAAATAAATAAAATAAAAGTTAAAAAAAGAAGAATGCTTAAAAAAAACTACTTAAAGTAATCAAAAAGTATTTAAAGCATTGAAATAAAGATTTATATGTATAAAGCACTTTGGGGAAATTATTTTAAAGGTAGATGACCTTGAGTTTAGGAGAAGAAAGAGGAAAAAGTTTTATAAGCAAGATGATACCAATCATGGAGATCCATCGAGAACATCATTTGAGAGAAGAGAAATTTCCATCTCATGTGAATGACCACGATGATTAACTGGGACTTAATTCCACTGGATAAATGGTAAGAAAAGGAAAGCTTTCAGGGAAAAATCCCAAACAATGAGCAGAATGCAGAATTATCCGCACAAGGAAATTAAAGCACAGCAGCCATAAGGCTCAATGATGAGGTTTGGACTCGGGGAAAATAAAAGGGAGCCGAAGAGGTAGGAGAGTTTCAAGGCCCCTCCACAGTGGCCAGCACAGACTCAAGGAGCTGCAGTGGAATGGTAAATACACAGTATCAGCACTTAGCTTAGAAGAACATAGGGACATACTGRCATGACAATCTCCACAGAAAACAGAGGTCAATGGAATGATGGAAACTTTTACAGGGTCAAGAACAGAGCAAAATGTGGGAAACAAAACCTTTGCTGGACCTCAGAATGGGCAAAGAGAAGCTTAAGAGGCAGACAGGTGCAGAGGGACAGACCAGGTTACCAGGGGGCACAGAACCCCAGATGGGGTGGATAATAGGAAGGGAAAACAATATCCTCCACAGGGGCAAAAAGGGCTCTAGGAGGACAGCTTTGAAACCAAAGACCTCTCCTTGAGAAAGGCGTGGAAGGTAGGATTTCAAAGTAACAGAGATAGAAGAAACAGGTAGTGGTATGCTGGAGGGGAAAGAATGGCAAGAGCTGAGAATCCTAAAAACAAGACTAGGGAGAAACAGTGATCAAATCCAAGAAGAGACAAAGAGGAGCTTTGAAAGACATGGCTCCGTGTGGGGAGCAGGGTTTCTGAAGGCTGTTTACACATCCTCAGGCCCTCTCACATCTGCAACTCCTCTGACAAGTAGACTAGGACTTCCTGGTCCACCCTCCTTGCAAGTTTCACTCACTCACCTGAACAAATCTGACCATGGATTTCATCTTCCACTGTCCACGGTTCTCCTTGTAACAACTTGGAGAGGGCATCGGGCTTGCTGGCTTGACACCCTGTTCATGGGAAATGATAGGTCTTAGGTTCATCAAACTGGGCTATGATCTGTTAACAACAATGTTCTATTTTAGGAACTCCGTAGTTTACATCTGCAAAGCAAAGGCTTTGCTCTCTGAAGGGAGCATAATACACCCTCTTATCTGGGGCCTGAGAGGGACTGAGAGGCCAACCTTGAGACACCACAGGACCTCCAAGGCTTTCAGACACTGAGAAAGAAAAGGCCACAGACTGGCACCCTCTGAGCTGCACAGGGCAGCCATCCTCACCCACGGACACCAGGTTCCTGCAGTTCTCCAACATCACGTCCCGGTACAGGTCCTTCTGAGCAGGGCCCAGGAGGTGCCACTCCTCCCAGGTGAACTTCACGGCCACATCCTCCAGTGTCAGCAACTCCTGGGGGAAAAAAAAAATCCTACTTAATATGAAGTCTTTCTTTTCCATAGATACAGAGGAAATGTGAAGGATATTATGCTGCTCATTTTCACCATTTAACCTGTATCTATATACCTAGGTGTTGTGATTTTTTTTTAAATTTTGTATTTATTTTTTTTATTTATATAGGACCGTGGAATGCATTACAATTCTTATTACACACATAGAGCACAATTTTTCATATCTCTGGATCTCTGGTTGTATACACAGTATATTTACATCAATTCCTGTCTTCATACCTGTACTTTGGAAAATAATGATCATCACATTCCACCATCATTAATAAGCCCAATCCCTCTGCCCTATCTAGAGTTCATCTATTCCTGTAATTTTTTAAAAACAATATATTGTGCAGAGCCAAGTGGTATATGCTTATCCCAGCTACTAAGGAGGCTCAGGTAACATGGGCAACTTAGAGAGAACCCTGTCTCAAAATAAAATAAAAAGGGCTAGCTCAGAGGGAGAATGTTCCTGGGTTCAATCCCCAGGATATTCCCACCCCGACACACACACCTATAGAGGCACACATACGTACAGGCAGTACACACCAATACCCACTTGTTAAAACTGCACGAGGGGATTAGGAAAGAAGGTGCTGAAAAGAAATCTTTTTTTTCCCCCTTTAACTGTATATAATCTAATGATTGGAGAAACTGTTTTCTAATCTTTTGGTATACTCACGCACAATTGTATAATTAACTTTTTAAATAATATAATAAAGGAAGCAGTAGGTAAGGACTGACTTTAAATGAAAAGAAGTATGCACTGTCTGGGCTAGGGGGAAGTTTTAAGACAACAATACCTTCAACTCCCTAATGTCAAAGATGCACTCAAACCCAGTTTAATCACCAGTTCATACAGAAAAAAAGCCAAACAATCTTTCCATTTTCCTAGTTCATTTACATTTTATTCCTAGATTGACCCTAACATCCATTAAGGCTGGGCCCATGGGTCATCTTGCTATGGGCTGTATGAACAACTGTGTCCTGACTTCTCTTGGCCTCTACCTAAAGGATACTTTGAAGAACTGTGCTTGACATTTATGAGAAAGCTGCAGTTAATGACATCCTCTATGAGCAGTGGTGTGGCTTAGTAGTAGAGCATGCACACCGCACCCACAGGCCCCGAGTTTGATTTCCAGCACTATCAGGGGGAAAAAAAAATTATCACATTATTTCTGGAAGGCCTAAGTGCTATGAAATAGTGACACCTTTCACAAACTAGTCTGCTTTCTCCTCAGTCAGTGCACATGACCATGAGGAGTCTCTCTCTGGTTGTGATGACTGTCGGACATTCAACAGAAGGTAATAGCTCATGTAAGTAACAGAATCCTCCAGTCACAAACTATGCTTTAGTATTAGTCATTCAATATGAATTCTACTGTACTGTTTTTATTCAAAACACTTCTGACACAAAGTATCAGAACTATTGGATATCCAACAATTTAATTCAATTCTGACACCAACTTCTTGAGTTAGTGAAGGCCCACCATTTAAGGTCGCAAGCATGGAGTCCCCAGTTATCCACACTTCTGTCCGACTTGGCTATTAAGCTGGGGGTTCCCACAACCACACACAGGTTCAATGACGTTCTATGACAACTCAGAACTGAGGAAAGCAACTTACTTTACTACTACCAGTTTATTATAAAGGGTATAACCAAGGAGCAACCAGATGGGAGAGATGCACAGGGTAAGTCATGTGACGTGGGAACTGGGGACATCTAAGTCTTCCCTGGGTGCACCACAATATGTTCACAACCCAGACTCTAATACTGTCGTTCAGAGGTTTTTATGCAGGTTTAATTATATGGGCATGATTGATTATATCACTGGCCATGGGAGACTGGACTCAATCTCCAGCCCCACTCCTCTCCCTGGAGAATGGGGGTAAGGAAAGCTCAAAGTTCCAAGCTTYTGAACAAGTTTCAGTCTTTCTGGTGACCAGCCTCCATCCTGAAGCTAGGTTCCAATAAAAGTCTCTTCACTASAACAAAAAAGGGTCCTATCATCCTTATCCCACTCAGAAAGTTCCAAGGCTTTTCAGAGCTGAACACCAGGACCTGGGGACAAAGACAGTATATCTTTTTAGAGACCACAGTATGAACCACAAATGATCCTAGGTCTAAAGTCCTCCAGAAATGAATCATGGAATGAAGAGAAAAATAAAGCAAACCCAAAGTCACCTGGGGATTGATCATGTTCTTCTGCTATTGGGAGATGGCCAATAACCTGGGGACTGTGCCTTCAGTTCCTTCTTGAACTGCTCCAAAATTTCTGGTTAGAAATCTTAAGTCTCCAGTCAATGGTGTCTCCACAAACGGTGGTACCAGGTCCAGGAATGTCCTCACTTCCTGTGATGTGTCTTGCTCCAGGAACTACCTGTGTGCTGAGGAGTGAACACAGTTTGAGCATACATCCCCTCACATATGCACTTCACGCCCACCTCTAGCCTTTATTGGGGTCCCAGAACCTGAGGGCAATAACACTATTTTAAATGTACGGGCAATGTGTCTTTCTCCTATGAAACGAAGTATGACTGAATGGTGAAGTGGGAAAGGCAAACCAGCAAAATACCAAAAGACTACTCAGGTCTGTTTTTAGAAAGAAGACATACAGAAGGTGAAGATCTGGACATTTATTGCTTTAAAAACATGTGCACTCATGTACCTGTGTAAAAGTCTACAGACACCTTGTGTGTATGCACACTCCGTTTAAAGACAAATGYAGTAAGTAAAACATAGCCATTATCTTAATTATTTATCACTAACCACTTTATTACATTTAATCATTATTGCCAATTCCAGCACTGACCAAAGGGTTACGGATTGACTGTCTTTCCTAAAAACATACTGTCATGAGCCGTCTGTGGACTGTGTGTGGACTATGTTGCACACAGTAGCTCCTGAGGGAATCAGTCTGGCACTGGGAACTCCCTGGGGCACTCCCCACAGAGACTGACCACCTGATGCAGGTGAATTTCCCCCTTAAGCTCCACCTAAGATCCCCTAAGAGATAGATGTGACCTGCCAAGATGTCAAATCAACCTGACTGCAAGACATCACAAAACAAGACTCTGCCCTTGAAACCTCACCCCTGCCTTTGATAGACCCCCGCCTTAAATAAACCACTTTGAGCCATTTTGTCTTTGTCTAGTTTAAGAACTCATGTGGACTAGATCTACCAGGGGCTTCTCTTTTGTAACATATTTCTGAGTGTTTGTTTTATTATTTGTTAATTACTAGAGATATTAAGACTTAAAATGGTTTAATTATTTGAGATATTAAGACTTAGGGTGGCTATTTAGGGTGGCTTGGATTCCTCTGGGAAGAAGAACCCTCCAGTGAGACCCTGACCATCTTCCCCCCGAAAACATGTCATGTGGCAAAGCTAGAATTCACACTCAGCTGCCCCTCTCTAAGAACATGGCTTTAGTTGCCACTGTATTCCCTTGGCCACATACCCTCCTAAGACTTTTCCCTTTTCTACTACCTTAGGGAGTTTGAACTGCACAAGGTCACATGGTGAGTGGCACACAGCCAGACATGATTTCAACTTCCAGAATCATGCAACTACCTTCTTCCACAAAAAGGGAAAGTTCATGTCGCACACCTGTCCTGATAGCAGCAGGGAATCAGCAGCCTAGAGGATTTCTAAGGGCCAAATTCTGGAGCTCCAGTGAGAAGCTCACATGACGAAAGCATTAACTTGAGGGAGTCACCTTGAGTTCCCCTTCTACCCCACTGGCTAGAAACATGATGACAAGTTCCCTGTGGCTCTCCTGAATCCTCCAAACCCACAAGGCCTGTGCTTACACATCCTCCAACCCATGACTGTACATTCTCCTCTCCCATATTAGTGCCAAAAGTCCATCTACAAGGCAGCAGAACTTCCAGACTTGCCTTGTTGGAACACTACCAAAGGAAATGTGCAGAGCCCAATAATGTAGTCCTGAGTAGGAGGTAGTAGGTACAATACTTCAGAGGCACCAGGTATGCACTTTACATAGTAAGGCTTCCTTTCTCACGTCTCCACAGCCTTTATCCAAAGAAGATTCCACCTCATTTTCAATCTTTAAAACCTTTCTGTGGAGTATAATCATTTCTGTTACCTCTAGAGGCTGGATCATTTCACTGAATGGGGAGTATTGTTCTTGAAAGTGCATGTGTATGTATACACATAGAGCCACCCAGAAAACCTCACAAACTCCAGAACATCACTCCCAAACAGGCTGTAGTCACCACTATGTGAAAAAAACACATATTCATGCACAAGTTTGCCCACAAATGTTTATAAAAGTATCATTTATAAGAGAACAGAGGAGACAAAAAAAAAATCCACCAGTTGGGGAAGAATTAAACAAGATGTATCATATCTATATGAGAGAATATTATTCAGGCATAAAAACAGATGAAGTACAACAGTATGCTACATCATGGATGAATCTTAAAAGCAGTATGTTATATTTAAAAGCCAGTCACAAAAGACCACATAATGTATGATTTCATTCAAATGAAATATCCAGAATAGGTAAATACTTAGAGACAAGAAGTAGATTAGCAGGTGCTTAAAGGTCGGGTGGGGGTGCAGGAATAGGGGAATAGGAGGTGTAGGGAGTTGTAGCAAAAAGTTTTGCGGTTTGTTTTCGAGGTGATAAAAATGTTCTAAAGTTGGGACTGAAATAGTAGTAGAGTACTTACCTAGCATGCACAAGGCCCTAGGTAAATTACCAGCACTGCAAAAAAAAAAAAAGTTCTAAAATAGACTTGGTGATGATTGCACATAGGAAACACCACTCAATTTCACATTATAAGTGGGTGAATAAAGTATGTGAATAGTAAAGCAGATATTAGAAAAAAGCTACCAGTAGAACTTAATCACTGTACACCCACTGAAATATTATAAATATTTCTCTATAAGAGAAAAATATGAATGTCAGCAACTTACTTTGAAATGTGTCCCCTGCCCCCAATATTTTAAAAGATGTGTTAATGAGGAGAAAGGCAATACATCAATAGATACATGATAAAGAAAGCAAGAAAACAAAATCTAGATGAAATTTTTATATTTGAAATTTTTCAGGTGTTAGGAGCTGGCAAAGCTTATACTAAGAAGAATTCAGTTAGGTAACCGGAAACAAAAAAATATTTTTAAACTAACTGTTCTTCTGTGTAATAGTAAACTAAAAGACATCAAAAAGGTCAAAAAAATATCATTTACAATTGAGAAAAATTAAAAAGATCAGAGGGAGCAACACGCTTGGGTTAACACAAAATCAAAACCTGTTTTCGTTTTTTTCCCACGTGATATAAGGGGTCTAAACCCACAACCTGTCACACCCTAGGCAAGTGTTCTACCACTGAGCTACATCCCCAGCCCTATTTTATTTATTTATCTATTTATTTTATTTTATTTGAGATAGGATCTCACTAAGTTGCCCAGGCTGGTCTTGAACTTGTCATTCTTTTACCCCAGGCTCCCCAATAGCTGGGAGTAGCTGGGATTACAGGCTTGTGCCATGGCATCAGTCTCATTACCACACCTTGAAAGTGATAAATGAACTTTCAAAATATTAGTATTCTATCTAAGCATATGCATATACTTAGTGAATCCAGTCACAACGGCACAGGTTTGCCTCTTGGTGCATACTATCACAAAACTCTCTTTTATTTTTTGAGACAGCGCTCATCATTTTGCCCAGGTTGTCTCAAACTGGTGGGCAGAAGCAATACTCCCCCTTCAGCCTCCTGAGCACCTGGACGACAGGTGTGTATCACCAAGTCTGGATCTATCACTGAACTTTAGAAAACTACTTTTATACAAAAAAAAAAAAAATTATAAAAGCTACTTTTAAAGCAAAAACTTATGCTTATTATATGAATGTTCATGAAATGAAATCAATGATAAGAAAAATCATACCATCCGGCACAGTGGCGCACACCTGTGATCCCAGCGGCTGGGGAGGCTGAGGCAGGAGAATTGCRAGTTCAAGGCCAGTGTCAACAATCTCGCGAGGCCCTGCAATGATTAATTAATTAATTTAAAAGGGCGGATGTGGCTCCGGGGTTAGGCGGCTCCGGGGTTAGGCAGCCCCGGGTTCAATCCCCGTAGTGTGTGCGTTTGCATAAGGAAAAAAGATTCAACCAGTACCAACGTTGCAGCAGTTTGTCCTAATCATAAAAATCAAACATAGAAAATGAAGCCTGGATGTGAAATACGTGTCACCAATGCCACCAATGCCACCAACGCCACCCTGGGGGCGCGCTCCGGGGTGGGCGACTCCTTCAGCTCGGGTTCGCCCCGATCCCCCCGTCGCTCTCCGGCTCCGGGACCAGCAGAAGCGAGATGCGCGAAGCCGGGGAACTGCAGCCCTGCGCTGGGGCTCGGGCCTGGGAGGGGACGCGGCGTCTGACCCCGAGACAGCCCGGGGACCCTGTCCCCTCGGTGAAACCCCGGGTTGGTCCGACAAGGGACCTGCGCCGACACGGGACCCACCCCGACCAACCTCTCGCGGCCCCACTTCTGTCACCGCGCTCCGCGGCGAACTGCACACATCCAGCCAGGGCAGCCCACTCGCTGACCGCCGGCTCCCTCAGGACCGACTCAAACGCTTTCGTCGCACGCTTCCTGGCTGCCCTCCCTAACAGCGCCGCCTACACGACACCTAGGGACGGTGCGCCCCGGAACCCTGTTCTACAGAAGAACCGGACTCACCAGAGTCTCCCCGGAACCCAGCGGACCTCCGCGAAGTTGCACTTCCGCCAATTTTTCCAAACCGGGACCCAACCAGCCTCCGCGCCGGGCCTACGGCGGCCTACGAGGCAAGGTTTAAGGATGTTTTGCCCAGCGCCGACACCAGGACTTCCGGCTCGTCTGTAGGGGCGGAAACAGGTTGGCGCTCACACCGCCACGGATGCCGSGGGCGGCCATCTTGCAGTATTGGACATACAGGCGGTACCGCGGCCGTTTTGCCCAATTAGCTGGCACAGTTCGGATCTGTTGAAGGACTCCCATTTCTTGGCACCTTCGACCTCCTCCCGGCCAGATCCCCTTGGCTTTCAAATGCTCGCGYTTACACTAGGCACACACATAGTAAGCTAGGGCCACCTCCAGAACACCAGACTCTACACAGTGAGATCGCTGGAAACGGAACAGTGGGCGCGGCCATCTTCCTAGTTACGTGTCCGTACAGATGTAAAGGCTTCCTSCGCGAGGAAAAAAGAGCAAGCTGACCAGCAGGTGAACACCGCAGAACGATTCTGGCTGCGTGGGAAGGGCAGGAACACAATTTTTAAGGCAGAAGAGGGTCTGAAGAGGCAACGGCGGTACGAAGATCGCGGCCTCGCAAACAAAGGGAAGTGAGAATTACCGCTCAAGAGGAGCACCCTTTCCCTGTGAGGGCGGGGCGCCGTTCCCGTTCCGGAAAGGCGGAGAAGTAGCGAGCCAATAGGGAGAGGGGATGGCACGAGAGGGCGGGGCCTCTCCTCGGGGCGGCGGTTCCCGGTCCAGGAGGAGCCAACCTCACCTGGGGCGGAGGCTCTTTTTACCGACATGTGGAAGGAATGCCTTTCTCCACACATTTGACATTACATAACTCAATGTGATCTCCTGTAGCCGAAGAAGCCAGAGTAAAGCCCATCAGTTCTCAATAGAAGCCCGAGGACCTAGTGTGTATTTTTCTGTGTTTTAGTTCTGTCTCCCCTAGTCACCAGTAATCTTCCAGGAAGGGATTACTTCCTTCCCCTGGGTCCTGCCCMAGTGAGGAGGACTCCCACACAGCCCACTCCCATGCACAGGGGTTAAGAGTGAGAAGTAAATCTTCAGATTTGTCCCCAGATTCAAATGCTTATGCAATCTGGAAACCCCTTAGACTGTTTTCCAACTCTTTAGGGCCTTTAAAAAAACAAATGACTGTACGACCTCCTTGGTATGGTCTGTAGAATCTTGAAGACTTTTCTATTGATATGCAACCCAAAAACATCTCAACAGGATTTTTTATAATTCTAGACAGAGCAGTTCTAAAATTTTCAAAGGTGACAAACACTGCCAAGAATATTTTAACAATTCTAACAGAGAAATATGATAAGAATTTTTCTGTACTTGGTAGAAAGCAAGATTTACCAGAAAGTTAAAGTGTGATTTTGGTATAGGGATAGATACATATTCTAAAATGTAACAAGACAGGAAATTATCCATGCATGTGAAAATTGGGTATATAACTGAGATAACATTCAAGTAGCTGGAATTGCAGGTGTGCACCACTATACCTGAATAACACCTTTTCCCCATTTATTGTTAACCATTTATAAATAAGTACATTGTTAACCATTTATAAATAAGTGTATTTGCTTTCATACATACAGTTCACTGTACAGATGATGCTCTGTATACATGGGGCAGGAAAATGTATTCAGTTGAAGTTTTCAAATCTGTCTCACACAGCTGTACTGTAGACAGTAAAATTGCTCAAGTGTTTCAGCAAAGGAAAGTGTCTTCCTTAATCATGGGGCTAGAGGCCTTGGCTGATTCTAGGGCTGAATAACACCTTTTTAAAGTTTCATATATTTGCCTTTTTTCCCTACCTGTACTTGAATACCTAGTAATTATATCAAAAGTAATATGCTCAAAAAGGCATGCCTGATTTCCTTCCTTTCTGAACCTCATAATATTTCTCATCCTGTTAGAAGGCATTACCCTCTCACGCATCTGCTCAAGCCACCTGTATAGGAATACCCCCTTGATTCTGTTCTGTACCTCTTCCCACCTCAGGACCTTAGTGAGCCTTGCCATCCRTCGCTCCTTTCATGGAAGTCCTGATTTCATCCACTTGTCATCATTCCTGTGCTTCTTCAAACCACTGTCACATCTGCAGCTTCATAGCTTTTCCTTTTCTTTATGGTTTATCTTGTTTCCCTTTCTACCCCTAGGACAGGACATCAGTAAAAATGAGGAGAAGGTTTGTGCTTCCCAGCACCACCATCATGCCTAGTCTAKGGCAGTAGCCATTTCATGAGGCTGTGCTGAATGAATGACTGTGTCCCTTGTCAGTTTGGACCCAGCCTCTGTGGTGAAATGCCACAGGGGCTGTGGGTTACTGTTGCCAAGGTCCTATGCAGGCAGCAGCCAAACCTACATTTACTAATTGCAAATTTCTAATCTTGTTTTACACTTGTGGCTGTTCTCTTTGGGGTATTTTTTCCTATGTTACTGGGTATTTGTCCACATTCCAGAGATAAGGAGTTAGTCTTTAATGAGTAGAGTTTTCATTTGGGGAAGGTGAAAAGTTCTGGAGATGGAGGTGGTGACAATTGCAGAATATTGTGAATGTACTAATGGACACAAGTCTGTACACTTAAAAATGGTCGTGGAAAATTTTATCTTATGTGTATTTAACCATAAGAGAATATTTTTTTGTAAGTTTTTTAAAAAAGAACATTTGGACTTGGAATTTCTTTCATATAATATAATTTGGTTTCCACTAATGTGCAGCAGGGTTTTTTAATTTTTTTCATTTATTTTAATTAGTTATACATGACAATAGAATGCAAATTTTTGCACTTTGACATATCATAYGTATATGGGATATAATTTCTCATTTTTCAGAGTGTACATGTTTCAGAATCATATTGGTCATGCAGTCACATATATACATACAGTAATAATGTCTGTTTCATTCTACTATCTTTCCTGTCCCCACATCCCTTACCCTCCTCTCCCATCACTTCCCTCTACCTAATCTAAAATAACTCTATTCTTCTCTAGTGTCCCCTGCCTTATTGTGAATTAGCATCCACATATTAGAGGAAAAATTCGGCTTTTGGTTTTGTGGGATTGGATTATTTCACTTAGCATGATATTCTTCAACTCCATCCATTTGCTGGTGAATGCCATAATTTCACTCCTCTTTAAAGCTTACAAATATTCCCTTGAGTATATATGCCACATTTTCTTTATCCATTCCTTTATTGAGAATCACTTCGGTTGGTTCCTTAGTTTAGGTATTGTGAATTGAGCTGCAATAAACATTGACGTGGCTGCATTGCTGTAGTATGTTGATTTTAAGTCCTTGGTATAAACGGAGGAGTGGGATATGTAAAGAAAATAATAAAGTAGACAGAGACAAGGTGCAGAGGCAGGAAAGGAAGTGTCTGCTTGTCCAAGCAGCCACTTTTATTTACATAAATAGGTTACATTAGGTCATTAGTACCATAACTGCATTATTGTTTAGAGTAACAGTAAGGTTCTAATTCTGCAGTCACATTTCAGAATTACACTATGTAATGTCAGGAGCATTGGGCTGCTCTTAAGAAAGACCATTGTCTCAAGTTACTGCTACATTGGCAGATCCAGGAGCACTGAAGCTTGGTGACACATTGTAGTTATCTAGCAAGCAAATTCCTTTATTCCCAGGAGTTATATGCCTAAGATCAAGGKTGAAACTCATAAAATTCTGAACACAGAGCTTCCTAGTGAAGAGCATTGCTGCAGCAGCCGTGCATCCTGTGTCTTCATGGAAGTTTCTCAGCAGCCAGGCATTCCAGGTCTTTCCACAGAAACTTCCTAGCAGCCAGGCATTCTGAGCCTTTGCACAGAAACTTCAGATCCACCAAGAAGGCCACAGTCAGAGTTTATCAGAGACCCCAATCCTGAATACAGAACCCCTACAGGGATAGCTGTGGCAAGTGGTGCTTCCATTCCCAGTTTTCTGAGGAATCTCCTAACTGCTTTCCATAGTGGTTGCACCAATTTGCAGCCCCACCAGCAGTGTATGAGTGTGCCTTTTCCCCCACATCCTCACCAACATTGATTGTGTCCTGTATTCTTGATGATTGCCATTCTGATGGGAGTGAGAGGAAATATTAGTGTAGTTTTGATTTGCATTTCTCTAATTGCTAGAGATGTTGAATGCTTTTTCATATATTTGTTGATGGATTGTATTTTTTCTCTTGTGAAGTGTCTCTTCAGGTACTTGGCCCATTTGTTGATTGGGTTATTTGTTTTTTTGGTGTTTAACTTTTTGAGTTCTTTATATACCCTAGAGATTAGTGCTCTATCTGATGTGTGAGGGGTAAAGATTTGCTCCCAAGATGTAGGCTCTCTATTCATCTCACAGATTGTTTATTTTGCTGAGAAACTTTTTAGTTTTGAGTCCATCCCATTTATTGATTCTTGACTTTAATTCTTGCACCACAGGAGTCTTATTAAGGAAGTTGGGGCCTAATCCCACATGATGGAGATTAGGGCCTACTTTTTCTTCTATTAGACGCAGGGTATCTGGTTATATTCCTAAGTCCTTGATCCACTTGAGTTGAGTTTTGTGCATGGTGAGAGATAGGGGTTTAATTTCATGTTGTTGCATATGGATTTCCATTTTACCCAGCACCATTTGTTGAAGAGGCTATTCTTTCTCCAATGCATGTACTTGGCACCCTTGTCTAATATAAAATAATTGTAATTTTGTGGGCTAGTCTCTGTGTCCTCTATTCTGTACCATTGGCCTACCAGTCTGTTTTGGTGCCAATACCATGCTGATTTTGTTACTATTGCTCTGTAGTATAGTTTAAGGTCTGGTATAGTGATGCCCATGACCATCTTTGAAGAACTAATTTCCTTCGCCTGCAATTCCCCTCACCTTAGTTCACTTGAAGGCTGCTCACAATTTGTCGTCAGGGTAACTCTGTCTACTTACTTACCCATTGCTTCCCTACCTTCCCAGTTCTGTTGTTTGTTAGTTAGTTTGTTTGTTTGTTTGTTTGTTTTGAAATGCTGGGAACTAAACCCACAGCCTCGTCTCTACCAGGCAAGCGCTCTGTCACTGAGCCACATTGCCAGCTCAGTTTCTCTTTTATTTATCTTGTACTTGATTCACATGTTCAAAGATGAATTCATCCTCAAAGCCTAGGCTTGCTGTTCATTTCTGGAGATTCCTGAAGTAGCTTATTTGCTTTTTAGGTTTAATAAGCATTCTAATCTCCTGTGTGTCACCACACACCAGAGCAGTTTGTCTGATGATCTCCTTCTTCCTGTATGTGAAACCAAACTTCCCTCCCCTCACAAGTGTGGGAAGCCATTCTAACACGTGATTGGGCGACTCCCGTTAAGGGCCTGAGGCACTTTGGCAAAGT